ATCACCTGATACACAGATCTTGGAAATATGTTTTTTACCATTTTATTTACTGATTTCTCCTTGTTTTTTCTGTTGTTGTTAAAAAAAAAGAGTGTCTGTTTATGTCACAGGAAATGCCAGATGTTTGGACGCTGATATATGTTGCTTGGAGAATATGTATATTTATGTGAGAATCATTTGGAGTATAGTGAAGTTTCTTTGTTAAAGTCATTACTGATGTTGGTAATTGTTTAAAAGAATGTAGTTGCGTATCCTTTACAGGACGTTGCCGAACCAACCCTAGCATTTTTTTTGGCTGTTGTGGTTTTCCTAGGCAAATTTTAAAGGTCAATAGTTTGCCATTGCCTACTGAGCTCTCGGTACCGCTGTCGAAACAATCGCAAGACGCATTGTCCACAGCTGTAATCGAACCCAGCACCCCAGTGTTATGAATGGCGTTCGCAAAGCCTAGGCCACGAACGCTGACAGTAAGATAGGTAAGTAGTTATACCCCACCAGGACATCACACAAGCGATAAACAGCCGGTGACACAAAGTGCCACCATGTGGATGAGGATCACCCGCGGAGAAGTCACGGAAATCCCTTCAAGCCGTTAGACCATATCTACGGCTAGGTTATATTTATGGCCAGGGTATATTCAGGACCCCCGGCAGAAGCCAGGGTGGGGCTTCAAATAACAAAAAATTGCATCCAACAAGGGGACGACTTCGTCCCCCACAGTAATTGTTAAACAAAGAATTAATCCTCCATTGTACATTTGAACACAGGGGACACAAACGATAGATTGTAAAAAGTCTGGCATATCTCGTTGTGTCTCCTCGGGCGCACATTACAGTAACAGCTGAAATATTTAATTATACTAACTGAAATACAAATGCTCACTGACTGAGGTTCTACACCTTGCAGATTTGTGAAGGCAAAAAGACATGGTCGTGAACTTGCGTTTGCCCTGGTAAACAGGCTGTTACTTTTGTCTGCACAGTACTTGATTTTGTATTTCATTTAGAAGGATCAATTCTTGCTTAAATTATATTCATTTGCTTCAAATTCTTGTTCAGATTGTTGAAAAGTATATTTTAATACAAAGAAAAACAAATCTGAACACCCCATCCCCTCCCTAAAGGCTTGACATCCACTGACTCAAGGAACCACTTTTCAGATGCCAGTTCAACAGAAACAAATCCTTTATCTGACTCTCAGTTTGGTCTAAACATGGACAGAAATGTGACAGCATGACACTTGTTGCCTCTTTGCATTTACTACACATATCCGTTTTTCTTTGATTGCGGTTATTCTCTGCTGCGACAGAATCCAAGATAGTGTAATAGTACAAACTAATTGTTTTTCTTTTCGGGTGTTTTTCGTGTCATACTACATTGTCTTTTATTCTGTTTTATTCCCCATCCTAAGACTGATAAAAATGAAGACGAGATGTCTGAGAAAGACAAGGCATTTGACCAGAAGAGATAGAATCACGAATAATGTAAGAAAACGAAAAAAATGGCACAGAATCATTACTAAATTACAAACAAACACATCAAATAAAATGGTGTGCTTCCTTAGAGAGAACACCTTGCGATGCAATTCCATACAATGCATATGCAAAAAAAAAAAAACGAAGTTGAGGGTACAGATACAGAGGTTGACTAAGAATAACATGGATAGATAACATCAAAAAACCTACATTAGCATGACGTCTCTTTAAAAGAGGCGGGCAGAAGAGCGAGAAAAATAACCCTTTCTTCCTCGACACCAGAATTGGTTAAAAAAGAAGACGAAGTCAGGAAGAAAGAAGAAGAAGAAGATTATTTTCTTTTGTGTAGGTGAAGAACTCTATGTGTTACATCACGTCTCTCGGATATTCATCTGATGTTATTGAGCAGACCAAGTCTCAAAAGTGAAAAGTGTAACAGCCAAAAGCGAATGTATAGGACTAAACTATTCCCATACATCCTACTTTATTATTATTTTTTAAACAGAATTATACTTTATGTATGATAATATACTTTATGTATGATACTATACTTTATGTATGATAATATATAACTTGCAGTAACATTTAAATATATCATGTAGATTAAATTATATATGTAAGCATGCATTATGCATTGTAATTTCAATATTTCACATTTCAGTGTATTATTTAATTTGAATTACCTAAATAATCTTTCAATAGGCATTGTAATTGTTATCATGTATTTTCTTTCAATGGGAATTGTAATTTGAATTATATGTGTGTATGTATGTGTGTGTGTGTGTGTGTGTGTGTGTGTGTATATATATATATATATATATATATATATATATATATATACACATATAAATGTATATATATAAATGTGTGTGTGTGTATGAATGTGTGTGTGTATATATATATATATATATATATATATATATATATATATATATATATATATATATATATATATATATATATATATTGGAGTCGCAGTGACGTACCGGTTAGAAGCTCGCCTGCGAATTGGAAGGTCGTGGGTTCGCTCCCTGACGAAGCCGCACTTTTGTCAAAAATTACCTTGGTTCCCGGGTAGACCCAGCCTTAAGTGGGTACCAGTCTTGAGTGGGTACCAGCCTTGAGTGGGTACCACCCTTGCCTGGGTACCAAGAGTCAAAGGTTAATGTCCTCATATTTAAGGTGAATCTCGCAGTCATTTCCCTATAGGGCCGGTGGTCTGGAGGTCGTTGATTCAAATCCATTTTTAATAAAGGACAACTCCCATACCAGAGGCGTACCAGGCATAAAGTTCTAGACTGATATGTTTAAATTCATCTTTCCTTACTCCATGGTTGATGTGGTCAACATCACGCTCGCTGCCTGTACGAAATCGCCTGTTTTATTTGCATCAGTAAAACGTGTTGACTCTCTTTGTTTGGTAAACGTCAACTCCCTAATGTTCTTATACCATAGGGCTTTCTTCTTAGGGCCCTCTCTCTCTCTCTCACACACACACACAAACTATATCTGTTAGATTAGTAGTAAGTAAAGTAAAGAGAAAGTAAAGATCCCTTTCCACGCCTTTAGGCGTAACGGGCATATGGGAAAAGTTCCCATATTTTTAAAGACCATCAGCACTCGGTGGGTAATGTGGTCAGCATTACGCCGGCTGTCTTTACTTTCCCAGGACAGCCCATCCTGGTACCCATTTTATGCTGGGTCGACCTACGACGCCCCATACCATGATAAAAATCCACGCAGCCAGCAGTGGGTTTTCGATCGCGGTACGCCGGATTACGAGTCGGACTCGCAACGCCTAAGCCACGGACGCCGCAATATCTTTTAGATTACTTTTACTTCTTTACTTCTGCCTTTCTAACCGCCAATGTAGCATAGGTCTTAACCAGCTCACGCTAAGTGGTTCTATCGCATGCAGCTCTCCCCATTTCCTCCCAATCTTTTGAACTTCACTCTCTAGATCCCTTCTCAATGTTTTTGGTCTTCCTTTATTTCTATGCCCCTGTTGGTTCCACCGTTTAGTCATTCTAGTTACATTGTTTTCAGGATTTCTCTACGTGTGTCCTATCCAACGCCAGCGTCTTTTCTTCCCTCTTGGTCCACTGGAGCTTGTTAAGTTCTCTACCAAAGCTGCCAAAGTGATTTTATCGTACAATTCCTTCTATTCTGTGCAGGCAGAAGTTAATAAAAGTTTGTAGTTTATTAGTAATTTCCTTAGTTGCCCTCCATGCTTTCATTTCATACACCAATAGTGAGTTACATTTCTTTTTAACTCCACAAATTCCCTGTTTTTTTTTTTTCGTATCACTGTTACCAAGTTGTAACGCAGTCGTTTTCTGTATTTGTCTCACGCTTCTCGGGTGGCCTGAGTATTGGATTTGTTCAACTTTTTGCAGGTTTCATCTACACCATTTATCCATCTCTTTCTTAGTCTTCCTCTCGCCTTCCTATCTGATGTTCTGCTGTAAACAAGTCTTATATGCAGTCTGGTCTGGCTGCATTCTCACTAGATGCTGAACCATTTCCTTCTTTGTCAATATAATCCAGACATGGTCTTGTTCCAACGTTCTCTCTGATGCTGGTATTCGTAACCCTGTCTCGTCAAGTGTTGTTAGTGACCTTGCGGAGACAGCGCATTTTCTGTTTTAGTGCCCAATTCATTGTCCATGCTTGGCACTGACAACATAATGCAGGCATAAAGATGCTGTTAATCATTTGCTTTTTTTCCTGGAAGGGAGACATTCTGGTGTCTAAGCAGTGGGGCTGACTGGTAGGTGACAGCATTAACCTTCTGTACTCTGGCTTCGATCTCTCTTTCGAGTCTGCCATCCACCCTAATTAAATCATCAAATGTTTCTTGAGTAGTAGCAATCAAATACACCACTGCCGGCTTGCTAGGCCCGTCGGGAGGCAGGTCAGGATAAAAATCTGACCTGGTTGGTGCCCGTTTCCTACCATGCAAGCCAATGCCCTGTTAGCCTGAAACCTCACAGCTTCAGTTATCCGGCATGCACCACAAGAAGGTGGGGTTGACCTGGTTCCTTTATGGGTCATTGGCAGGCTCTTACTTTTCCCCTCTCCGAAGAGAAGCTAGTCAACCTTAACACTGCTGGCTGCAGTGTCAAGTGCCTAAGCACACCCCTACACGCCACAAATACCTAGTGCTTTAAAAATTCCTCTTGCCTTTTTGTATTCGTATTTTATATCTCTATCACTTGCTCCAGTGGCGTCCGCGGCTTAGACATTGCGAGTCGGACTCTTTAATTCCAACGTAATGTGATCGAAACCAACTGCTGACTGCATGGATTTTTATCATGGTATGGGGCGTCGCAGGTCGACCCAGCCTAAAATGGGTATCAGGATGTATGTCCTGTATCTGTCAACAATGTGGCGACAGATGAAAAGATATCATCCACTTTGCAGAAGAAATTGTTCACTTTGCAAAAGATATTAGCCACTTTGCAGAAAATATCCACTGTGTGGAAGACATCAGTCACTTCGTGGAGGATATCTAGTTTGCAGAAGA